CTTTCTTTCTTTCTTTCTTTCTTTCTTTCTTTCTTTCTTTCTTTCTTCCCTCTTTCTCTTCTCTCCCTTTACCAAGTGTGTCATGTGTTCTGGAGACAGGCTTCAGCTCTACAAAGTCAAATTACATATTTTCTGGGATGGGAACATCATCAATTGAGCTTGAGATCTCCAGGGAAAATGGTGTCTTTGCATGGGTTGAGGTGGGGAGCTAACTTTTCCCACTACCAGAGCCAGCACTTTAAATCAATCAATAGCAAGTCCCTGGTACCATGTGGTCATGATTTGATGAACAAAGAGTTGGACCCAGCACCTTCAGTCCCTAGCTGGAGTCCAGGGCCAGGTTGCATTCACCATCAGACTCTGGCACCGACCCAGCTCTTCTCGGTCCACCCACCCTACCCCCCAGGGCCCCTGCTTTCAGAATGCTTGTCCTCAGCAGGTCTTTCTAGGGTATGTGCTGCATTTTAGTTCCATATTCTGGTACTCAACCAAAGGGTGACACACTAGAGGTCAGATAGACAGGGACATGGCTGTGGATAGCATGTTTTCCAGTGACAAGTATGTTGTCTAATGCTAACAGATACTCAAAACAAAAATCGAGTAGAATACCAAATGATATTCTGGTGGGGACTTCTCTAACTTTTTTGGTTGGTGCAGTATCTATATGTTAACTTAAACACTAAGTAAAGAAAATTATTAATAAGTCAATTGAATAAATAAATAAAGATTAGAAAATGCACATGCATAAGATAAAATAAAATGCGTGTGATCCCCTACTCTGAAATAATTGTTGTTGGCATCTTGATATAGCGCCCTTTAGTGTAAATGAATTTATATATTATAGACATATTTAAAATATAAAACAAATAGAGTCAGTATACTATTTACACCATTTGTAAGTCTCTTGCCACTTGTCTAATTCACCTGGGCTTTGTTTTATTTCCATCAGTCTGCTCTGATTACAGTTCAGTGGGAACTCTACACTGAGATGCTGACTCTTAGGACTCCTAGTGGGTGACAGTGGAGGGTACTGCCCCTCACTGCCTACCCCAGGCCTGGCTTCCTGCAGATTCTCTGTATGATTTAAGATAACTATATATATTTTTTAAATTCCTGCTATTCTTCTAGTGAGGGCAAACAGGGACTCAGCTTTGTGCAGCTGTGAGAGTCAGTTGAGCTCCCCAGAGGAAGTGTCACCCGCTGGACAGTGGAGCCTTTGCAGCTGCCTTGGTGCACTTGGCCCGTGTGCAGCCTGCCCCTCCTTGCTGCACCTGAGTATGCCACTTCATGCCCAGCTGGGAAAACAAGATGCCCGCGCATGAGCTCCCGGCAGCCTTGCTGGTTGTATTTATTCTTTCCGGTGCCAGCCTCATGCGTTTATTTGTGCTCCAAGAGGAGGGATCCTCCTCTCTCCAGTTGTTCATTCCAGAGGATCCCGGGGCATTTCTGCCTCAGGCTCCAGCTACGGGAATGTTCCTCACAGAGAAGAAAGACCACAGCTGACTATGAGCATCCCAGAGAGCAAGGACCAGGCAGACATGGGAGGCAGAGCCGGACTGGCTTAGAGCCTGGAGGTGGAGCTTCCCCAGGAAGGACTCATGCATGCACCTGGGTCTCCAAGCAGTTGTGAGTCAGTCTTCGGTGTCACGACTTTTGAATGTGTTTCTAACATTCACTTATTGGAGACAGTAGTGCACAAGAAGGAAGGAAATGAGGTTTGTAGCCTCATCATAGAAACCTCTAGAGGCCTTTCTACCCAAATATCCCATTAGCAGTGGCAAGAGGAAAGCTCTCTGTGTTTTCCAGCTCCTAGAGGTGGTCCACATTCTTTGGCTAATGGACCCTTCCAGCATTTTCAATATGTCTCCTTCCAGCACCTGTTTCCCTTGCCCTGTCATCTCTCTCTGATTCTGACTCTCTTGCTTGCTTTTTACAGGGACCCTCGTGGGGCCCATTAGGCCCATCTGTAACATGAAGGGCTGGCTTGTTGGGGTTTTTGTCCCACCCAGTATCCCATAGCCGGCAAGTCCCAAAGAAAATCATATAGAGTCTACATTAGGTTATAAACTGATTGGGCCATTAACTCAGTCTTCTAACTAATTTTTATATCTTACAGCAATCCATAATTCTTGTCTGTGTTAGCCATGTGGCTCAGTATCTTTTTTAGCGGGGCAGGTTATATCTTGTTTCTTTGTGGTTTGGGCAGGAATGGAGGAATGGGCTTCCTCCTTCCTAGCCTTCTCCTGTTCTCATTGCCCTGCCTCTACTTCCTATCTGGTTGATCCGCCTATACTTCCTGCCTGGCCAATCAGCGTTTTATTAAAATACACGATTGACAGAATACAGATAATTCTCCCACACCACCCGTTGTATTGTGTAATCCAAAAAGGTCTTCCCATCTCAAGACCTTAACTTGTTCAAACATGTCAAGTCCCTTTTGCTGAAGGGTAATACATTCGTAGGTTTGAGGAATGGGGTGGGTGGGCATCACTGACTACCAAAGACTACGCCAAGACAATTATGAGTATTGAATATAAAGACAAACAAGGTCACCTTTACAATATCAGGGCCTGGATTGACATGTAGAGGGTGACAATAAAATTGTGCCCAATCACTGCTTCCCAGGGTAGGACTGGCACAGAGGAACATAGAGAAAAGGAAGACAGAGGACAGGTGTTCAAGGACCACCCTCCATATCTGTCTAAGAAGGGAACTGTTCATATGGTGTAATGGGACTGTCTAGTTTTGTTAGCCACTAAAAAATCCTTTTGCAACCTCCTGCTCAGATGTCCAGGTTCCACTTCCACTTCTGCTTCTTCCAGGAGTTTCCCTCCAGGAAGAAGACGTACTTGTCAGGCCCACATTTGAATCTCATTGATGTCATTAATGTCTTGTGAGTTTGATGCAGCGATAAGTCAGGTGTGGGCAAGGCTGGAGCTCTGGGCTACAGTGGAGTCATTACAGTGGTGCTGCCCTGGGAAGGCACCTTGGGGCCTGTCAGATGGCCCCTCCCTGGCAATGCCTGACAATCCTTTGCAGACAGAGACTTCATTCTTAGTCGTTGAAGGAAGGAGAGGTAACGTTGACTTTTCAAGACGTGAGATTCAGGCCATGAGTCACCATAGTTGTGACTATTTTCACTCCAGCTTCCATAGCTATGTTTAGTAAGCAAACTCCAGGCATCCCCAGGGACTAGTTCTAGGTTTTCCTGTGCCCCCACCATTTCAAGTCTTTTACATACAAGGAAACCTGTTTTATTAACCTATGCACTTCCTCTAATCTTCTTAAAATCACATCTAGGCTGCCTCAAACACGGAGTGCAGTGTAAATGCTGTGTATAGCACACTGTATTGCTTCAGGAATAGTGATTCAAAGGAAATGCTCTATAGAGATATTCTCTCTCCCCAAGTATTTTCAAATGAAAACTATAGAGCCCACACATTTAGAGGTATGAAAAGGCACGAGAAGAACTAAATTTCCATCTAGGAGGCAGAGTGCTGTGATGGTGGCACAGTTGACAGATGGGTTCCAAGTTCAGCTCCATCTCTGACCTTGTGTGAGTCAGCAGAAGCATCTTTCCATCTCCCAATCTCAATTTTCTCTTGATCTAAGCTAATAATTCTAGGCCTTGCTTTGCACTAGAACCACCCAGCTGGTTCTTGGAGAATGTTGTAGCCTCTAGGGTCAAGAATCACTGTCTATGAATGGCAGTCAACATCCTATCCAGATAGTCTGCCATTCCATGAATTGTATGGAAGTTGTTAAAAGAAATCTTAGTCCAGGTTTGCTGGAAGCATCTGACTTCTCTTCTGAATGGCAAATTCAATCTAATGAAGAGATAAAAATTGAGCATCTATTGTCTACAAAACATTAAGTTAGATCTCTCAAAGATTTCCAAACTCAAAGACCTTTCCTATGTGGTCAGCTGGACATACAGATGTCCACATAGTTGTAAGCAGATGGGCCTTGTTCCTTTCAAACATGGCCATACTTATGTATTAAACATAGGATTCCTTTACCTCCTATTGAGCTTCTTTTTCTAGAAATTTGAGCTGTGTTCTTCATTCCTCTTATATTTATCAGAAAGGGGTGATTCCTGCTGAGACCTAGGAACCAAAGCAGTCTCTCTATTTTTCTACCTCATGGTCTTTAAACCCAACCTGTCCCCTGTGCTATAAACCTCAAAAATAGAATGGTGTCAGATTTCATTCCTTAATATTTATCAAAAACTTCTTATATGTGATAGGTACTATTCTAAGAGGTTTATGAATGCCAGTCACTTACTCTGTAAGTGACCCTGGGAGAGCAATGGTATTTATCTCCCATTTCACAAATGAGGACAGTGAGGGAGAGAGCTAATATAACTTGTTCAAGGTCTCTCTGCTGGTAAGCAAGGAAGTGAGATTCAAACATCGAGCCTGTCTTAGACATAATGTGTCCTACCACATAAGCAGATCCTGTGCTGTCTGTGAAATGATCTTCTGGCCTTCACACTTCAAATGGAGTACATGGGGGAATGTTTCCAGTAACATGTTAGTTAAAAATTAATAGGAAAAGCCTTCACATAAGCAGTATGATATCAGCTATGAAAATCAATGCAAAACACAGATCACTAAAAATGGCACATAGTCAAAATTAAAGGAAGGAGAGAGTGAATTATTTGGGGAAGGTCATAATCAGCTAGTTCCTGAAACACAGTATTCCAATGTTAATTACCAATGATAATACCAATGATAATTACTAGGGGGAAACTCCCTGTTTCTCAAGATTATTCTCAAGATTACAATCTAACTTTATCTTCAACTAGTTCCTGAAACCCTGAACTGGCTAACCCTAGATTTCTGATTTTTCTCTTCCTGCTAGATTTTGGGCTCTATTTTTTCCTGCTAGGGAGATCTTTATTTTCATGAATGTGGCCCGTATAATCTCCTCCTCCACTGACAAATAAGCGTGCTAAACCTTTTGCTATCAGAACACATGTGACATCAGAGTTGTGCTATTTGCTAAGCATTATTCCAAGAGTTTAATGACTATTAAAATGGTCCTTTAAGATAAACATTCTTTCCTCGTATAGTTTTGGTTTCAAAAAGAGGTAGATCACTAACTTGATATTGAGAATATACTTACAGAAGTAATTGAGTCTATAGTGGGTGGTTTGATTATTTTTACTTCTGAAATTCCGTAGTTTTTCATAGATTTTTATCTTTTAAACGGATACATAAAAACATAGATTGTGTGTATTGATGAATATCATTTGGTACATCAGCTCATTGACACAGATTCTTTTGTAAAGTTATCCTTTATACTCACAAGTCTAGCACTGCTCTGAGACCTTTACCTGGGTTGCCTTACTTAGTGGGCTAGGAACTGTTATTAGCCTGGTTTTACAGAGACAATTAAGCAAGTTTCTTGGAGGAGAGAGCAAAGTTGGAAACTGGTCCTGGAATGTGTGCTCTGACTAAGCCACGGGGCTTCCCACTACAGCCCATCCACCTAGACATGGACCCCAGATATGGTTACTCTCTCAGTCTTCAGTTCCACCTCCACCCCCGCCTTTCATTATGACTCGACACTGACCGCTCTCCCAGCTCAATCAGTGTTGATTTTCCTAGTCATGGAGCATTCTCTGTAGGGAAAATAATTTTGCATTCCATCATAGGTGCTTAAAAGCTCCTTGCACAGTTTCCCAGTTCCCTTTGCCAGCCTTCTCCATGTAAGGTCATTTGTGGAAAAAGGATTTCTCTGCTTTTCCCATTGGGGTGACCACAGCTGAAGGTCCACTTGTGGCAACTTCAGATGAGTTTTGTCACTCTCTGTAGACACCTGGGCCTTCTACCTCTGGTCAGGCGAGGTGTAGTCTTTATTTATGGAAACAGGGCCTTCAACAGCTTCGGCCCACTTGAAGGGATCTGTCAGTACAAATGTTCGTGGACTTTTTTGGTATGTCAAACTCAGACAAGGAGAGAATCCCAACCACCCACTCATCTGCACCAGACCTGCCTGAAAGAGCATCATCAGAATATCCAACATTCTTGGTCAAGGTCATGGCACCATCTAAGAATGAAAAGAACCATGCTAGCATATTGGTTCCAGCCAGGCTTTTTATTTTGGATTCCTGTCCTTATTCGAAAACAACCGTTTAATCCCCTTTGGGGGGATGTCACCCTCCATTTCTGATTCTAAAGAACAAACAAGTCTTATCGTTACCCTCTGAGGCCTAGAATTGGACTGGCTCAGCTGGGGAAATAGGGAGCATAGCAGAGCTGCTTGTGAAATTGATGGACGGGTGCAATGTCCCATCACCATCCTACAGGTTTTCAATTCTCAGAGGCTCTTTCTGAGAGTTAATACCTCAGATGCTTAGAGAGGGAGGAATTGGGTCCTTCGGTTGTAAGGAAAGGTAGTCATCCATACCCATCATGAGAGATGCTATCAGTATCCCACACATGGGGATCTCAGTTCAGAGCAGAACTATATAAAAGGCAGAAGCTTCTCGTAGCACCTCAGTCCACTGCTTCCTGCACAATCTGTTCCAGTGCCTGAGTCAGGTAGAACACCTCTCAGACCACAGAGACCCTGGTGCTGGTTTTCTGGGCAGAAAGGGGCTCTGGGTGGGGCTGAGGGCAATCTTAAAGATGAACAAGGGGAAAGAAGGGTTTGGAGGAAGGATCAATCTGGAAATGGAAGGTAATGGAAGGTTATGATCAGTACCTTCTTGACCTTACAATGAATTCATTTGAAAAGACGAACTGGGATCCTTTGTAGTTTTTATTTTGGAAGTGAGCTTAGGAGATTGGGTTTTAAAATATCTAATCACCAAAGATGTAAAATACTGTAAATTCATCGTTCAGTCTTCAAAGCAACATTGTTGGGCTTGCCGATCTTAAAATTCTTTCATTATCTTTTAGTTTGATCCAGATCCTTTCAAAATGTCCTACCAGCGGAGCCAGCGACAGTGCCCACCTCCTCCTCCTAAGTGCAAGACGCCCAAGTGTCCCCCTGCTTCTTCCTACTGTGGCTCCAGCTCAGGGGGCGGCTACAGCTCTGGGGGCGGCTACAGCTCTGGGGGCGGCTACAGCTCTGGGGGCGGCTACAGCTCTGGGGGTGGCAGCTGCTGCTCGAGCCAACACAAGCCCCGATTCTCTCTCCGTCGCCGACGTCACAGCTCTGGATACTCTGGCAGCAGCTGCTGTGACAGCAGTGGTGGCGTCAGCAGTTGTGGCGGCGGTGGCAGCTGCTGCTGTGACAGTACCTGTTGCAGCACAGGTGGCAGCAGCAGCTGTGGCAGCAGCGATGGCGGCAGCAGCTGCTGTGGCAGCAGCTGCTGTGGCAGCAGCCAGAAGTCTAGAGGTTGTTGCTGACCCGGGGAAGAGGACCACGGAGAGCAGTGCTGACGGCCAGCCAGAGTGTCTCCTCTTCGCCGGCTTTCCTGCAGAAATACTTCTACAATTCTCTGTTTCCTTCCTTCATCTCCACAAAGCTCATCTACCGTGGGGTTCTGAGGTCTCACAGTCTCACCTCTGAGCCTCATTGGCTTTCTTTTTCTCTCAGACACAACAGTCTGGGAATGAGATGTTAAAAACTCAGCTCTGAAGTGCTTTTCTGGGTAACAATAAAGCTTTGATTCCTGATGTTGTGGCCTCCCAGTGCTGTTTTGTTTAGCCCTCCTGTCCCATCCTCCACATGGAGCAATATTCCCTTCCTTTATCTAAAGTGCATATTGTGGCACGGAATCCACTTAAGAGCCCTGCGAAACAAGGTTCACTTAGGACGCTGGACTTGGAAACTTCAAACGTGAAAAGAAGAATCCTGTCTGAGATTCGTGTCCCTCATCAGTTTGCAAAAGGGAAACTAGGAATAGGATGAAATTAAGCAGGCAATGCCCAGGGGGGAAAATCATTTTGAGAGGGTGCCCTTCAAAAGTGAGCTGCCGTTTGGAAAGGTTTACTTGTTAATCACGGAGAATAAGATTCCCTGAAGTGCTCATTGTGGGCTGTAGTGAGTAGGCACTGCTTTCTGATGATTAGTGGGCATGCAGGAGATCTGAGTGGAAAAGCATTTCCGGAGAAGAAGCTGAGAAGACAGGTGTGAAATGAGGGAGTCCACTTTGCTTGGACTCTAGAATTTTAGGTTTGGATCTAAATAGAGAACAAAGACATCATCTCAGCCAAAGAGTGTCCCCACGTGGTGGTGGTGGTCATCTAGCTGCTGGTGGTAGCGTGTGTGTGTGTGTGTGTGTGTGTGTGTGTGTAAAGGACAAGGGTACTTCAATCACTGAGCTTGGGTGTTGATGTAATATTCCTCTGGGATTGGGATGGTTTCTTCAGGAAATGCTAAAAATGTTTGTGACAGGAGAGATAATTATAAGTCAACTTTCCGATACAAGATAAGCAGCGAGTCCCTCCTTTGATCAGAGTTAACACTGATGTGAGTTGGAGTAAGGGGTCCATTCAGTGAGCAGCTACTTGATCTATTTCATATCGATTCTTATCACCCTGCTTTTTTTGTCACCTTTTGTATAGTTTTCCAGAGGAGAACCACATCTACCTTATTACCTCATGACTTCCTTCCCTTTTCTAACATTGATCTCATTTCTTGGAATGTCTTACCTCTCCTTGGCGAGAGGCACTCTAGACACGGTAGGCAACCTGTTAATCAGGCTCTGAAGCCAAGGCAAAGGAAACGGGTATCGTCTATGACTGGTCTTTCCTTGTCTGTTTCCTCGTGTCACACCCAGCACATACACCCCTGAGCCTGTCTCTCACTCTTAACCCCTGAATATTCATCTTAGATTCTCTTGTGTCTCATACTCATGGTTATTGTGGCCAGGTCGTTGCGGTGATTGAATGGTAGTTCAGAGGCACTTAACCTCCAAAGTGTCCTCCGGTTTTAAAAATCAGCTAATCAAAAGCAGCAATTACTGAGGGGACTTTGGGGACCATTTGTTTGTTTAATCTCCTCCTCTTCCTTCTTGGCTCTTTTACTTTATCCTTTTCCTTTCTTTTTCTTCTTTGTTTGTTTTGTCTTTTCCCTCTGTGACAGTCGTCCCAGTGAAAATCTATTCTTATGGGAGATGAGATCCGAAACGAGAGGTGCATGAGTAGTTTGCTGTTTTTCAATAGGCCCACATCCCTCATTCATTTTTGTCTGAGATTCACCAGGGTTGCATTATAGGAATAAAGTCAAGGGACTTCTTTTGATCTTAGTGGTCCTTTAACTTTGCCCGAGTTTCTTTTCTTGTCAATAGCGACAGGAAGAAACCACCAATGGGGTTCCATCCTTCACGGTCATCTTCATTCAACTCTCTCGAGATGCATCTAGACAAACCCACAGGGTTTATCACACAGCCTGCAGCCTGCCACACAAGACAAGAATCAAGGGCCATAGAGATGCAAATAAGACAATAAATGATCAGGAGATGGCTACACATGAATGGTGTGTGGGAAAGTGGAATGGTGCCTGTGTTCTCTTACTCCCGTGACAAGGTGCGTGTGCGCGCGTGTATATGTAGGTGTATGTGCACACCCGCATGCAGCGTTTAAGAGAGCAGAGAGGACCCCAGACCTCTCTTCAGTAAGGCCTCAGGCCTTCTCTGAGCATGCACACAACCCTCCCAGCTATGAACAGTGTCCTGTTTGGAAAGTAAACACATCACAGCAATCCTGGCACCTCTGTGGAGTGACTTGGATATCCACGTGCACCACCTACAGTGCTACCTGAGTGATGAATGCCTCTGGGATGTAAGTGTCAGCTGAGCACATCTGTTGAGAAATGGGCTCCTCCCAGGAACCTGAACTTGTCAGAATCTTATAAAAGGTTCTCTGGCCATACACTGCTCAGTCTTCTGCCTAACAGGTGGCAAGTTCCAGTTGGAGAACTGAGTGAGTCTTCCCGTGGAGCCAAGGTCTAGTAAGTATCCAAGCAGAGTCTGGGGGATGAAGCTGGGAAGAGTGGAAGACAGAAGGGAGGAGGTAGGGCACATCTGGAATGTAGCTGTGGGAAGACAGCTTCTAGGGGACCAGCCTTTCCTGTTGCCTATGAAGATGCAAAGGTCTGGCGTGGAGCTGAATTTTGAAAGGTTCTCCAGCTTGTCAAGGAGCTGTGACTAGAGCCCAGTTTTTAGGCTCCCTGGCTATGTTATTCTTGTTCTCTGCCATGACTAGCCTTTTCCTTATAATAATGGGAAAGGCCAAGAAAGAATGTGCAGGGCTTGCTCTTGTGTTTTCAGAGTCTCTATACCGAAGAGGGGTTGGGAAGATAGGTGGTCGCTGGGTGTTTTCTGACAGATGCGATGGTTATACATTAATGGAGATTACCACTTGAAAGGCAGTGTGCTCCAAGTACAGTGGGGAAAGAGCAAGAGTAAGAGAAGATACATTGTAGCCATATCCTCTTTTCCACCTTGGAGACCTTGGATGGTCCTTATACCAGTTAGGGAAACTGCCTTGATCCTTTGTATGTTGTTTCCTGTTTTGTGCCTCTGCCTGAAGTACCTGTTTGGGTTTTGTTTCTTTGCTTCCCTTTTCTTCTCTCTCTCTCAACCCTCTTGCCCTAAGCCAGACTTTAAGTCAAGTGTCAAAAATTCTGACTTCCACTATTGGAAAGAAAAGGCGGGCTTTTTGAAAGGTTGTTTTTCTTTCAGATTCGACTTGACAAACGCAGCGATGTCTCAGCAGGGCGCCAAAGGCTTTTCCAAAGGGTCTTCCCAGGGCTCCGCCCCCTGCCCCGCCCCGACGCCCGCCCCCGCTCCCTCCTCCTCCTCTTGTTGTAGCCGCGGCTGCTGCGGGGGCGGCGGCTGTGGCGGCTGTGGCTGCGGCGGTGATTCCGGCTGCTGTGGCTCCAGTTCCACCGGCTGCTGCTGCTTTCCCAGGAGGCGCCGCCGACAGCGCACTAGCGGCTGCTGCTGCGGAGGAAGCCAAAGGTCCCAACGGTCCTGCAACAACCAGAGCTCAGGCTGCTGCGGTGGCTGCTGAGAGTCCACTGAGCTGCGCATCCTACAGCGGCTACTCTTCTGCTTCCATCCTGTCCTCCATAGTAGTAACAGGCAAGATCAGTCTCGGAGATTGGTCCTCCTGAAGCTAACTGCACTTTGATGTTCAGAAACCTCACCCTGTTCTCAGCCTTGTCCCCTCATGCTGATTTTCCTCCCAGGGAATACAAAAGTCAGGGGTGGGACATCAGATCATTCTATGGGCGGGGGCTTGTGCACAGCAGTGTTGAAAAATAGATCTACTTATTTGATTGTCCTCCGAAGACGTCACAATAAAGCTTCTACCTCTTATGAACGCTTCTTTTCCTATTTATTCCTTTCTCCGTGCCTTCATTTTTCTTATTTTATTGCCCTTTATACTACTTTTTAAAGGCTCATGCCTGAAGGAGAACACACCAGCTGCTCTGTGTCTGCTAAGAATTCTGCGTCCTTTGTGTAATTACTCAATGAGGTGGGCGCTGCTGCGTCCGTTTTATAGAGGGGAAACTAGCCTTAAGCTCAGAGTCACCTCGGTATGCCGGCAAGATGGAGGTGACTGCGAGATTCCAGAGAACATTCTCCTAATTGCTCTGCTCAGCTTGATCTGCCCTGAGTTGTCAAAAACCTTGTGTTCCTCTCCAGAGCAGCCCCCCACCTCCCACTCGGCACCTTTCCACCAGGCTCAGGTAGCTGAGGGACTCTGGTTTGGATTAGCAACTTCTGAAGCTTTGAATTCAGTCCTGCTGAAACTTCTTTCTCTTCTTTCGGGTTTCCTTTCCTTCCTTCTTCTCTATTTCCTCTCTTTCTTCCCTTCTTCCCTATCCCTTATCCTCCCCTCCTTTCCCTTCGCCATCTCCCTCCTCACAACACCCGAGTTTTCTTTTTCTGGTGGTGGAAGACCGTTTACCTTTGCTTAGCATTTTCTGCACCCTACCAGGAGCCAGGGACTCTTGGAGGTCTGATCTATGCAGCTGAGGCATGACCACAAACTATAGATCTCCCCTGGCTGTGGCTGTCAGACTGAATCACACTAGCATAGGAAACCATATGATCAGAGAGTTTACTGTTCATTCTAGGTAGGACCCATTAGCCTAGTGTCTTCTAGGTTCAGAGGGATGGTATAGCAATGGTAGAAATAATAGCACAAAACAGCTTACTTTTGCTGAACACTGATTTTGATCCAGACACAAAGCATAGCACAGAATGTATGCATATGTATGCACATTTAATTCTTAATAACCTCAAAAAATAGTTTTTAATTTCCTCAAATTTCAAGCGTGAGTAGACTGGCATTCAGAGACGTCAAGGAATTGGCACAAAGTCTGACAGCAGTGAACGCTCCAGGTCTCTGGTGGTGAGTAATGGGAATGCGACCTAAACTGAGATCTGGAGCCATCAGCGTCCATGGAATCCACTCAGTGCCTTGCTGCACTGCAATCTTGGAAACCACCACCGCCCAGACGAAGGGACACTCGGGCTTCTGGGGACACACCCAGGCTCTTAGGAAATTGTCGCCTGACTGCTCTGCCTCAGTGACCCAGCGACTGTTGAGCTCTGGGGTAGCATCTGCCCAGCAACCAGCCTCTGAAGGTGTTTGCTCAGAGGCCAAGTAAGTCATAAGTTCACCACTGATTCATCCATGATGTGTAAATCCGAGTCCAG